CCGTAAGCAAGAGCTTACGTGGAATACCATGAATTAGGTCTGTAAGATGTTGCAGTCGTTGAGCGGCGTGTGAGATGAATCGTATATAGAAATTCAACAAATCCAAAAACACCTTCAGGTCTTTAACTGAGGATGGTAAAATGTACTTTCCGATAGCGAGTACTTTATCCTCGCATGGTGAAATAATCTCGTGTGTGATTTTGAGGCCAAGGAACATCAGTTCCTTTTTTCCAAGCTCACATTTATCTGGGTTGACTACATTGTTATTATCAGATAAAGGTTAAAGTAGAAAAGCCCAATGATGATAACGTTCATCTACAACGGGAGGCAATAAGCAAATCGTCAATGTAAACGTGAACAAAATCTGAATCTCGAGTTATACTGTCGATAAGCCTCTGTAAAGTCTGAACAGCGTTTCGCAAACCAAAAGGCATACGTAGGAACACAAACAGACCGAAAGGAGTCGCCTCTGTAAAGTCTGAACAGCGTTTCGCAAACCAAAAGGCATACGTAGGAACTCAAACAGACCCAAAGGAGTCGTGACCACAGTCTTTTCGACATTTTCAGTGGCGACCGGGATCTGATGATAAGCTCGTATTAGATCGATCTTAGAAAAATAGTTCTGCCATGAAGTGAAGCCGTATTTTCGAGTCATTGCATCAATTGACCGATAGTCGCCCATGGTCTCCAGCTAATGCTGTCTTTTTAAGAACCATGTGTGGAGGAGAGGCCCATAAACTATGAGGAGGACGTACGATACCTTTTGAAAGTAACATGTGTAACTCACGCTTAGCAAAAGATAATTTGTTCGGTGCCTGTCGGTGAAGTCGTGCCGTGACTGGTGGATCCTTAGTGGCTATGTAGTTTGCAACACGGTCACCAGTGTTAAATCTTCAATGGGTTAAGTGAACTTGGGGAATTGGACGATAAATGTCTGGAAAGCCACAGGGATATCAGGCATTAAACCCGTGATTCGGTAATTGTCTTTTCGGGCTTTGAGACCCGTGAATTTGATATTGGACGTTGTACCGACCAAAACACGATTGTCCTGGTCTGAGCGAAACGAAAAAGACTTCGTCTGTATGCGTTCAATCAAACAATCCTTCGCTCGTTCTGGATAGCGGTAAACAAATCTCAGAACAACGCGTAGCCCAAATTATCGAGAACCAAGTCGATCCAAAAATAATCTACGATACTATTTTGGCAATATACAACAAATACACAAGGCAGTCATACCTCTGATAGTGAGCCTGATTCACTATCGGACCAAAATGTTACAAATATTCACAGAAAATATCTGCAGTGGTAAAAAGTAAATAAGAAAATGAGTGATTTGAACTCTCAGATAATTCTGGACCAATAAGAACATTGTGTACGCTTCAACAGATCAAGCANAATATTCTTGAGCGTAAGAGCCAAAAAGGGGTTTAATATAACCGAAAGCAACGGTTAGTTCAACAACGAGCGTCCAATCACAACTTTGGTCACAGTAAAACTAGAAAAAGCACTAAATCTCATTTGCATGTAGGAGCAAAGTACTTGAAGTGTGTTCAATAGATATGCTTGACTGTAAGAGGTGAAATAAAAGGTTCAGAAGAGAAAATTCACCGACATGAGAACCACAGTCGGAAAGAATGCACGAGAGAATGGCGAAGAAAGATAAGGAAATGCAAGGTAATTGAGAGGAATTTTCAGTCTTTTTGACTCTTTCACCGACCACCAAAATTCCTCTGAGCGGACAATGTTACCTTCGTTAGTCTCTTGTTCTGGCTCCCCCTTATTACTT